TGTGGAAAACGTGTCTCGTCGTCATGACATCATTTACATGAGGTAATTAAAACAATAACATTTGATGAGATTGAGCTTTTTTAACATTCCCGGTGGTTTTACATTGTTTAACACACAAAATGGATTTATGTATTTCACCTGAGAATTTGCTTGTGAAATTGACGCTGACTGGTTTCTTTACTGATATAGCAACATAGGTTTTGTCGCGCAATGATACATTGGGATCCTGTTGTACATTTCGAAGTGTTGTGTTCCAGTAAATTTGATTCGGAGTTAACACTACGTTGAAATATTGGTATTATACTAGTCTCACTAGCGACAGGCAGATACCGTAATTAAAGTTACTTTGAACTAGCAATATTAGTTTGAAATCGTCAAATCTTAAACATAAGTGATAAAACTAGATAATTACCAATCGAATTTTAATCTATACAAATAAAATTAGGCATATGAAAATATTGTACAATGCCCACCTATTTACCATTATGATTGCATAATATGAATTTTGAGGTGCTACAGCTTAAAATAATGCTCTTCAGTTGCACATTTTGTAATACTTCCCTATTTGAACATGCAAAACGTGTTTATCAGGGGTTCATGAGACAGAATCTTGTTCTATCTTTAAGAATATATCTGTAGTGATCTAGAATACAGATGGAGACAACCGATTGTATTTAGGAAAAATTACAGTCTATTGTTAAAATGAGAACCATAGACAGAATACTTCTTTTGCAAATTTCCATCATTTGTCCTTCAAATTGTGTACGATTCTTCCAGTTAATAATTCCTTTCTATTTTCCATTTTATTCTCTAAATCTCGATCTTCCACTTCCGATTGGTTTTACATACTACTTATATCTTTCGGTATAAGTAGCATACTTTATGGATCTAAATGTTACTTTGGTATAACACAGCGTTTATCTCCGGCTTTGGACTTTCCATTAAGGTGTCACGTAACAAAAATACACATAAGATCTACTATACCTAGAACTCAGATTTCTGTTTTAACTCAGAGTACAGAACTCCACCAAAATTATCCACCTGAGCTACAAATTTTCACCATCTCATTTGGATATAGCCTAGAACCACAGTATAATCTGGTACTGGGGAATTGTTAACTTTACGATCACTCCCCATACAGTCAACTCAACAAGTTTATTTTACTGAGTGAGTATTGTTCAATAACTTTGATCGATGAACGTTCGGAACCTCGTCAACGAAGACACCATTTCTATCTGGTGTTGTATAACACTCACTTACGCCTGTTACCCCTCGTGGAGGAGCATAGGCGCCCACCAGTATTCTCCATCCAACCCTGTCCTGGGCGATCCTTTCCATATCTGCTTCTATTTCCCGGCGTAATACGTTCTTTGGCCTTCCTCTTTTCCGGATTCCAAGTTAGGGTGATTTCCTTAATGTATGTCCGATCTACCTCCAACGTCCTTTCCTAATTTCTTCTCCCATAAAACGCTATTGCTGATAGCATCCAGCCAGTAAATGGTGAGTATTTTGCGTAGACATCTGTTTATAAATACTTGTACCTTCGTGACGATGGTTGTAGTAGTTGTCCACGTTTCAGCTCCGTACAGTAGGACTGTCTTGATGTTCGTATTGCATATTCTGACTTTGATATTGGTTAACAGTTGTTTTTAGTTCCATATCTTCCTCAATTGCAGGAATGCGGCTTCTTCTTTGCCAATCCTCGCCTTCACGTCTGAATCCGATCCTCCTTGTTGATCGATGATGATTCCCAGATACGTGGAAGATTCCAGAGCTTCTCTATCAAGTTTGATTGGGTCGTTACTCGCTGTAATGTATTTGAGGATCTTGCTTTTTACCTTGTGTATGTTGAAACCTACTGATGCAGAGGTTGCTGCTAAACTGGTTGTCTTCATCTGCATTTGTTCGTGTGAATGGAATAGAAGGGCCAGGTCATCTACGAAGTCCAAATTTTCTAATTGATTCCGAGTTGTCCTTTTTATTCTGTGCTTTCCATCAGATGTCGAGGTCTTCATAATCCAATCGACCACCAGAAGAAAGAGAAAAGGTGAGAGTATGCAGCCTTATCTGACTCCGGTCCTTACTTGGAATGCATCTGTCCTCCATGCACGACTTTGGACTGTAGTCCGTCGTATGGATTGCGGATGACGTTGACGGTCTTCTCAGGCATAACATAGTGTCGAATTTTCTATAAGTTCCTCCTGTCTACACTGTCAAACGGTTCTCATACTCAATGAAGTTGACGTAAAGTGAAGAATTCCATTCAGTTGGTTGTTCAACGATGATCCGTAGTGCCGCGATTCGGTCTGTACGCGACCGATCCCCACGGAATCCAGCCTATTGATCTCGAAGTTGGGTGTCTTCTTGAATAATAGGTGAAGCATGTTTGTAGTTGCTTCAATGTCGGACCTCAGTGCTTCAGCTGGTATGTTGTCAAGTCTTACTGCTTTCCCACCCTTGATTTGTCTGATGACCATCCTGATTTCTTCGATCATTGGTGTAGTGAAATCTATAGGAAGGTCTATGTGCTGCTTCGATTTCTGGTAGATTCAATGGAGCTGGTCCGTTCAAGAGTTCCTCGAGATATTCTACCCATCTGTTCCTCTGTTCTTGAATCTCGGTGATTGTCTTGCCTTCTTTGTTCTTGACCGGTCTCTCTGGTTTACTATGTTTCCCTGCTAATTTCTTCGTTGTGTCATATGGTTGTTTCATATTTCCTTTTCTTGCAGCTTTTTCCGGCGTCATTGCTAGCTCTTCCAACTATTTCTGGTTGTCAGCTCTAATGCTCTTCTTCACTTGCTCGTTTTGCTTCTGTGTATCCATTTTGTGCCTTGACTTTATCTGTTCTTGTTTCAATGTTGTTAATTGCTGTCCTCTTGTTCTTTCTAACCTGAGTCATGTCCAGGGTTTCGATAGAGATCCATTCCTTATGATGATTCTCCTTGCGACCCAGCACCTCCTGGCTCGTTGAAGTTAATGCTTCTTGGATCTCTTTCCAATTGTCCTCCATAGTAGTTTTTTCTTCTTTCTGTAGATCCTACATGCTGGCACTGTGGTGCATGGCATTATGTTCGAAGCTGTCCGTATAAATAACATCGTTGCAGGAATTGTAAAGCTGTGGGCCACAAAGATGGATTTTGTTTAAGGGGGAAGCCAAATCGCTCCAGAAAGCCTGTTCCTAGATCCCTCACAAATTCGTTGAGTCTAGTAGCAACCTGTCAGAGCTCAACCCCAGGTGAGAGGAGATTTAATACCCTTAATATTAATGGGCATCCGTTTAGATTGCAAATAGACGCTGCATCAGACGTAACAATTCTCTCACAGAAACCTTGGATCAAAATGGGCAGACCATGCATGGTGCCAACAACGCAAATTCTCGTACTGCATGCGCTAATTACCTACGTTTGTTGGGACAATTTGATTGTAAAGTGTCTTTTCGCGATTCGAATTACACGGGAGTATGTTACATAACACCAGCTGATCTTAGTTTACTAGGTTTAGATTGGTTTGACCAGCTGCATTTAGCTGACGTTTCGTTAAACACCGTATGCCATCTGGTGAAACAACCCCATGAGCCTGAAACATATTCAAAGAAACTAATGACGGAGCTTCAACCATTTTCCAGCCTGTTTTGGGTCGGTGCTCTGTTATGAAAGCAAAACTTCGGTTGAAACCGGGGGGTAAACCTGTTTTCCATCCAAAGAGACTAGTGCCGTACGCAGCATTATCGAAAGTTGATGAAGAACTTAATCGCCTTCAATTACAAGGAGTTATTACACCTTTTTTACACCGTTATTACACCTTTCTTATTCTGCTTGGGAAGCTAACATTATGGTTATTAAGAAGGCCAATGGAACAACCCGAATATGCGCAATTTTCCACAGGTCTTAGCGCAGCCCTAGAACATCATTGCTACCCGCTGCCAGTCCCTGCAGATTTGTTCACTATGCTAAATGGTTGAAAGTTCTTTGCAAAGCTGGATCTTGCTGATGCCTATTTACAAGTGGAAGTGGCTGAAGAATCGAGAGAGCTACTTACCATTAATACTCAACGTGGTGTATCTATTCAAAAAGCATACTGCCATTTTCGCTGTATCTTATACGTGAATAAGTGATAACCAACTTATAGAACATATTAAGAATTATTTCAAAGGATTTACATTACCGATATACTGGGTGGTTAGCTTTTTTATCTGATAAAGATTTGGACTCCATTAAAGGGCGGTTCCATTTGTGTATCTAATGTTTTGATATGACATAAGGTAAAGTGAAAACAAATAAAGGATAAGTGCGTGGTCGACGCGTTCCTTCCGTATGGGCAAACAAAGAACTGAGACAAGTCAGTTCCTAAAAGAAGCACATCTTGTACAACAACGCTTACGATAAGAAGACTATTCTGTCAGCATGTATACAAGTTTGTCTTTTCACTTGTTTTCCAAGTTGTATCGTCAGCATCGTTTCTGAGAATCGATCAATTCAACAGACGCTACTAAAATCCACAGAACTCCTTAACCCTTAAGGCTTTCAAATTCGCTTGTAGATCATGCAACGATACCCCGAGATGAACGACAGCCTTATGTTAGTTTGTGTCTAGTTAGTCGTTTCTTAAAAAATCCAGAAATTTTGATAGTAACTGATCTTTCGGTTCATCAGGTTTGAAAAATCCTGACAAATCTCACTCAGATTACTGAATTCCCATGATACTTAAAGTTAGTGCTAGCCAAGTTGACTCTTCGATCTTGTTGAAGAAATACCAGCTAAATTTACTTATATACCACTGAAATGGGATATGGGCGACTTTAGATGCTTGTGAAAGGAACCAGTGTGTCAGATGGGGCCCAGATTGATCTCTTATTGGAGATCAGAAGAAAATCTTATCCACTGATACTTAAGCGATATTTAGAAAAAGATTAATTTGGTAAAAATTAACTGTATACATTTCTTAGTAGTAATATGAATTTATAAAACAGAAAAACCATAAACTTTTACATACTAATATTGTTATTGTGTTACAGGGGGAATTTTCACTAAAAGTTGATCATCAGCCAAAATGATATCTCCGCTGAAATCTGTAGATTTGGCTTGATCTAAGATAATTTGTAAACTAGGTTTGTTTTTCTTATCACTTTTAGATTTGTTTGAATAAATCGCCTGTTCACCGATTTTATCTGTAAGAAAGTATAGTTCGTGTGGCTTGGGAAAGTTTTTGAAAGTAATGATAAATGAATAATATTAACCAATGATATATTGGATAAGCCAAAACAATACAGTACAATCTATTTTCCTGACTATTTGATTATTATATGCTTCAATTTATTCCGAAGAGTACAACACAATATCTGTCAAGTCAACTTGTAGAAGCATAAATCGAAGGGTTCAATAAGAGCGAAACATTGTTTATAACATCGTACCGATATATATATATATATTACAACTGGTTGTTTACACAAACAACTATGCGTTAAAATAAAAGAAGTATTATACTTGATGGTTTTCGTCCCGGACTGATACTAACAAGGGAATCAGTGGGACACCGGATAGTTGTTTTGGCACAGTACGGAAATCTTCATTAGTAATAACCAACAATCTCCAGTCCTTGCAGCGAACGTGTTACCTACAGATCAATGCACCGTGATTTAAGAGGATATATTTCGAATCTAGTGATAACTTTTATAAAAGTTCTAAAAGTATTCTCTGTATATAAATATTAGTTCGATATACTACAGTAACTTATCATTTATCTGACCAATAACTAAATTTACTAATCAATCTACATTCTAATGACATGCTTCAGAAGTTTAAAACGTGTTAACTTCAATACTGAAGCTGTGGTTGCTTTTGATAAACAAGCTGAGTAGTCCTTTGATCAATTCATAATTATAGCATTATTGACACTACAGTTCGTTTTTGATAAAAGATAATAGCAGGTATCATGAATATATTAATTTACAATATATTGTGTTGAGTGAAACTATATTTTTATAACAATAAAAAGGTGAATTTACTTTTTATAGTATTTTCATCCGAAGAGTCTATTCGATCATATCTGTGACTGAAATGTGTTAAAACTAACTGACGAACATTGAGTTGACAGGCTAATTTCATTACAACGCTTGGTACAGAATGACCTTTGCTCAACGCATCCTCATATAAACTATCGTCTAAAGTAGCTTCATGTACAAGGGTATCCAGAGTTATAGAAGTGATTTGATTTGCAGTATGCAAAACTTGCATAAGACGTAAAAGTTCAGAAGAATCATACGTGTCCCCCATAATTGCAATACGATGACCTCTTAAACGTGGTTTCAATACATCTTCAGGCCGAACTGTTTTCCCATCAATGACAATTGTATTACCCTTGGGAGAACGAAAAAGTATTGAAATTGTTTTATGATATCAATTAATCAATGAAATCAGAATCAAAACTTATATCCTGTCTTGAGAAATACAATAGATTTTAGTGTTAATATATACACATGTAATATGCTAATTGTTATATCCTAGTGAAGAAGTAAGTACGGATAACTTACGGGACCTATTATTGCACTATTATTCTATGTATATTCCTATTGTATAACTATTCAGTAACTAGATTATCTATATATTCATCTTATTATAAGCTTCATTTTGACCTATTTATTATTATTATACGATTTACTGTTCCTAAATTATACTCAGTTTATTGATTACTGTCTCCCACGCTTACAGCCACATTTGGCTTGATTTTGTACAAAATCAAGCTGTCAAAATGAAGCTTATAATAGGATGAATATACATAATCTAGTTACTGAATAGTTATACAATAGGAATATACATAGAATAATAGTGCAATAATAGGTCCCGTAAGTTATCCGTATTTACTTCTTTACTAGGATGTAACACTAATGTCCTGTTTATTATAAAAGGAAAGCTAATTCTGATATACAATTGTAATTCAAGATATATCAACTAAAATCCACTAATTAGATATCTATGTTATTATAAACTATAAATAATAAAAATTAATTACTGGTCAAATTTAAATAAATGTAATTGAATTATGAGAAGTAATGTTAACATAACTCGTAGATATTTATATTCTTATTGATAAATTTAATAAATCCTTATGAAATATTTATTAAACACATAAATATTGATACAAAGGAATACCGAATAAATATGCGCCACACAAATTCACTTGATTTGTGTGTGGGATGTGATACTGCTCGGGTGCCCAGACCGAAACAGGTTGTTTCCTTAGGGAGCCACACCCAATGCCTTTGACCTAAATGTCTGACCCACAAGGCAGTGGAACAACGTCAGGAGATGCACTCCAATGATGACCAATACTTGGTTCATAAGCCATTTGTTCCCTCAGGATCCTGGAGCCCATGTGAAACATTGGTTTGGAATTAGTGTTTTCCAACTCCCCTAGATGGACTCACCGTGTCCACCGGCCTGGTTAAAACGCCGGACATTCGCCTTTCGTCCTCTCGATTTCGTAAACAACACCCCCGCCATGAGAAGGCGGTTTTTCAATAAAGTTGATTTGAAATATTGATCATATACAACAAATCAACTTTATTGAAACCGAAATGCACCATTATTTGAATTGAAGATTGTTATTATCAAACATTATAGTGATATGATGTAATAAATACTCTATGTTTTTTTATTATCCAGAATTAGGGTTCCAAGTATGAAATTATAGACGTTAGTCTTAATGTTAATTGTAGTTTATGGTGAGAGTATGATAACCTCTGTTTGGTTTTTTTCACTTTTTTTAACTAGACAAAGACAAAAAGTATCTGTGATAAGGCAGAGAATACCGCAAGTGAATTCCTGCAATATTATGGTTACTCCTAAATTATTTGTCATTCAGTTTGATTATTTGACTGACTATATGCTGATATTTCTCAGTCAGATTGTTTTATGTCAACCCTTACGCTCTATCTTGGTAATCTAACGCTTTTTATATTGTTTCTTATACCTTTTTATTAATCATCAGGCTCCCTGTGCCCTGATACGGCCAAGGGTGTGAAAAGTCCACACTCCTTCTCCAAACGCTCTCGCATGGCCACACGTATACAGCCACTGCCAGGGAAGTCCTACTCACTGCCTTCTCGCGGCGAGCTGGTTGTTTACAAAATCGAGAGGACGAAAGGCGAATGTCCGGCGTTTTAACCAGGCCGGTGGACACGGTGAGTCCATCTAGGGGAGTTGGAAAACACTAATTCCAAACCAATGTTTCACATGGGCTCCAGGATCCTGAGGGAACAAATGGCTTATGAACCAAGTATTGGTCATCATTGGAGTGCATCTCCTGACGTTGTTCCACTGCCTTGTGGGTCAGACATTTAGGTCAAAGGCATTGGGTGTGGCTCCCTAAGGAAACAACCTGTTTCGGTCTGGGCACCCGAGCAGTATCACATCCCACACACAAATCAAGTGAATTTGTGTGGCGCATATTTATTCGGTATTCCTTTGTATCAATATTTATGTGTTCAAATAAATAAATAATAAATGATAAGTATGTATCAGACGATTAAGAGCATAAATTATGTGAGGGTTCACGGTGATAATCAGATACCAAAAATACATTCAATTCAGTAACACATGATCATATGAATAAACCGCCGACAGTCAAGTACATATATTTAAGTTAAAAGCTCCATGTTTCTTAGATAGAAGCACAGAAGTAAAAGTGTCACTGAGTTAATTCATATGCCTGTTACTTGTATCACTAATAACTTTAATATATGTCCATTTAATTATTTATACGATATCACAACACCGAAATAATGAAAATTAAAAATATATAAACTACTCGTTTCAGTTCACCCATTAACCGTCCTTTGGGAACGCCTAATTTTATAGCTGTCTCAACACACAAGGAAGGTGATTGATCCGGCTTTATTATCAGCCAACCTACGGAAGGGATCGTATGTTTTATAGACATTGCATGCACCATTTCACAGTTCTCTTCATTATTTGTAATATTATACCAGAATCCTGCAAAACAGATAACACATAGCGTTATGTAACATACTTCAAAAATTAATTAGATAAACTCTTATTGAACCGTAATAGTATCAGTAAATTTTTCGTGAACTTAATACAAAATTACGAGGGATAGCTACATGAAGAATTAGATTTGTAAGATATTGGTTGGACAGGTATAAACTTTCTTGTTCCTGCCTTTGACTTTTTCTTTGATTAGTTAAACTCAATAAGTGACTTTTCCATGGCATTTTAATTTTACTCTAAAACATATGATAAAATGTTGCTTATATTTACTAGCCAACTGAGACATATAATATTAAGGGGGGAATCATTATTTACTCACCAACGGACATTAAGTAATGTTAATCATCCATTATCGTAACATAATTTCAATAAGTTAACTCATAAAACTGGAAAAAATGAAAAATAGAACTTTAGTATATGCCCTCAGGATCGAGTTTCGGACTCAGCACAATTATTCTTCGCTCTACAATGTCATATGGTTATTGTCAGTTAAATTAAGCATCAGAAACTTCTTTATGGAAACCAATAAAATGGTTGCGTAGGAAAGATTCAGACGCTCAAATGTCTTCTCAACTCATTGCTGCTCAACCTAATAATAGCTAAGTTAGAAGCCAAACGATTAAAAAGACGTAGGTATGAATCCCACTTTCAGTTAGAAAGCAATTATAATGCATTTCACTTTAAACACAATGAAATAAGTAAATCTATAGAAATATTTATAAGTGACGTTCAACAATAAATCTTACCATCACTATTCGCGAAAATGTCTCTACCAGAACGTTCACAAAATAATGGGGGATCTCGAGTTATATCGGCTTCTAAACACGCCCAATCTTGCCAATTTGGAGGGCAATGTTTTTCTTCTAATATTAACTCATGAACAGCATAAGTGTAGCTCAAATTAGCTCTAGACCAAATGAAAATATTAAATCTTATTGATGTTTTAACTCAAACTATACTCACAGTATCTAAGTAAAATCTTACACAATGTAAAACAGTTTAGTAATATTGATCTTAAATAACGAGACACTTTGTTGAAGAAAGAAGAAAATTCAGTGAAACAAATGTTCTTTTTGACGATTTCATTTATTTAAGCTATACGGTCGTTTTTATAGTTAATTTTATTTGCTAAGATAGTAGTTTATATTAAAAAAGGATATTAAAAAAAGCTAGAGTGACATCATGTCATGTATTGTTTATGAAAATCAGATATTGAAAGTTATGTGATAATCGGCTAGTGAAAACTGGTAAGGGGAAGATAATTATCCACTAGATAGCTACTCATAACATAATAATTAAAAATTATAGTAATTGTTAATGGTTATGAAAGTGATTGGAAAGGAGTAGAATAATAAAATAAAAACAAAAAACATAGATTATGGAAAACAGAAGGCTATAGAAAATGAGGGACTAAAAATACTGTTTTTGTACGAAAAGATTAACCTTAAACTGGTGGATAGAGACAGCTTCTGCTGTACATAAGTTTTCCATTTGGATTCCTGTTGAGTCGACTCTTCTGACTTTATGCGTGGTTTCGAAGGAGGCTTTTGGTAAGGTGGGGTGGTCAGAATTGACTAGATCCTTTAAAAAACTGATATTTATATACGATATTGCCTTTGTGAAATTCAAAATATATGACATACAATAACAGCGGTTGCCGAAACCCATTTTTATCCAGGTCGTTAATTTTTCACAAATAAATCACAAGATACTCCAACGTTGACTGACACAACGGGTTGTAAGCGATCACTTATGTCTGGTAAGTCGTCATAGTCAAGGACGACTGTAATGTTTTATAGACTATCTAGCAAGTAACAGTTTCGCTGAATAGCAAACTAGAATGAAGAGCAGGTATTGGTTGTTGAGGATTCTCGATCGGCACTATTCAGATAGTACCGGATAGTAGAAAATTGTAGGATAGTTTACAGAAAAATAATGGTGGGGCTTTTTTCCACATAGCCGTTTTAAAAAAACTTGAAAATGGACAAAAAAACAGAATTTCAGTGAAAATTTATGAAGAATTTTAATTTTTCATACACGTATTGATGTCCGAGCAACCGTTCAGACTAGGTTTTAAATCATGAACTACTAATACCTTAGTCAAACTGACGGATTAGCAAAATGCCGTATATTTACAAAAAGTGAACAGAATCATTTCGTAATATTAAAGTTATGTTATCTGAGATTCAAACTTATTCCCAATGCAGAAGACTTGTAAAAAGGAGATTAAAGGCGTATTGAGCTTTAAAATGAACAATAAACTCTAGCTTATCTACTGGATTATTGTTTTACTTCTGAGCTAGTCAATATATCAAGCTTTTGTAAATTTAGAAAACACTCATCACATATCCGTTACAGAATTTTGTGCATCCCCAAATATTTCTTATTAATTATCATGGTGACATTAATATAACGTAAGTGACCGCATCAGATGTACCAGTAAATGGTTTCCTTACATACTACAAAGTAATAGAATAACAAATGAAAGAAAAAAATATTACAGAGCAAGGTTTCTAAGCGTTAAAACTTAATGTTAATGAGTAGCATGACACAGTATATTGAAAGTTTTAGATACCATTCATCAAGTGCAAACAGAATATACAACTCTGTTGAAATTAGAAAATGTGGATGTATCCATAATATTTAATAGCATTCAGACTTTTTACACTATTTAAAGCCACTCTATAACTTGATATTTTGCAATAAACAAGATTTAAGAGTAAAGTACGACAGTTTAGTAACTAAATACAACCTAATAAACCAGTAAAATCCCACAAATACTATAAGAAGGCTAATGATACTATCTTGTAATACAGATCAAGACAAGATGCGAATTTCCAACCCAATAGTTGAAAAATGAAAGTACATATACTACTAGATGTTATCAAAATATCTGAGTCCTTATGAAGACCCGAGTATACTGCGCAGCCCTCTAGTTATATATTACATAGCTAATATATGACTTGAAGACATGATAACTGCAGGTATTTTCTCACAAATTTATTTGGAGCTTTACTCATGTGGAGCTAAACAAAAGAAACAATGTTGATTTTAGGCGTTGAGCTTCAAAAAATGGTAGAAATCTAATTGATAAAACTGATGAATTGAGTTTTTAGAACATGTATTCTATTTGTTGAGTCACTAACTACTCTAAAACGTTTGTAGGTTTTAGGGAGTTTCGGAGTAACTGTATCAGAACATAGAACCAGATCGTGAAGGAAATACCCTAGATTCAAGTAAATACGACGAATTTAACCTTTCAACTCATAGTTACAGTATATTAAAACCATTTAGTTAGAAATCATAGGAGAGGTGAACAGAAGAATTTTGAAATAAAACACATCCATTCATTTTAAACCCTTCTTTATCTACTGAAGATTTTATCGTGGCCAATGTTGGGTTTCTTTATTTTTACCGTTTCTTTAATTAGCTAGAAAAATTTTCTTGTTTTATTATTTATCTTTGCCGATTAGAATTATACCAACATAAACGGATGTTCTGATGTATGAGATTTCATGTAATTCAATGCTTCTACCAGTCAAAAGTTAGGATTTAAATAGTTCGGTTGGGTGCCGAATCACCAGATAGCGAACAAGCTGTAACTCCCATAGCCTACCTTGATAATGCAAGAGCAAGTCGAAGGAATCTGCGAAGTCCTTTTGGCCCGTATATGTTTATGGAGGCGCCACTATTTTGTGGGTTTGAATCTTCTAATATGACATTATTAGCTTCGCCTTTCTGATCAATTGTACATAAAAATCCAGGAAGACCAAACATATGATCCCCATGAAGATGTGAAATGAAAATAGAATTGATTTTTCCAAAATGGACGAAAGATGACTTTTGCGCTTGTATCTGTACACCTTCACCACAGTCAAATAACCACTGTGAACCAGAACATAAGTCACGTAGCACTACACCAGAAGCTCCCCGGTGGGGTGACGGATATCCAGATGCAGTGCCTAAGAAAACCAACTCCTGAAAAAGTGATGTTACACAATTTATTATAAACAAAGGTTGGCAGCTAAAATAAATAAAATACTCCTAAGATGAGTTGACATTAAGTGAAGTTTTGATGAACGAGTATCAAGTTGGTTATTGTGATTGTCGTGTAAAACATGGTCCTTTGGTTTTGTAATAACCTTACGTTTAACACAAGATCGGTGATTCCAGATCCTGAGAAGTCAGGAGGCTTCCAGATCTGTCGTAAATACAACGAACATACATTTACATTTTATCAGGTTATAGTGAGTAGACGAATTTCCTAACACCCGACCGTAAATGGAATTTCTCACTAATAAATTACACTCAGACGTACCAGCTAATAGATTTTGTGGCAACGTTTGTGAACGAAATATGAGTCTAGAAAGTACATTAAACCATAGACGTTTTTATTATTGACCGGACCACAAGTTACGTACAAATTCCATCAGAATTAGCTACGTCAAGTAGTTTTTATTGGTATAATCACTATTTTGATTCTCTATAAGCATATTTCCAAAGATAACTTTATATCCACCTGATGTTTTATGAGTTCATCTTTCGCCCGAAGACTTTTGTCGACTCAGACGAAATACCCCTATTTAGTAAAAAAAAAACTTGACAAAATACAGTCTCCTAGACATCCTAACAGACATTTGAAGAATGCTTTGGATATAATCATCATCTTGCAGTTACATTACTGTTCAGTTTGAGAGCAGTAAATGACCCACATTTTAGCTTCCATAACCCAGCCATATTGGTGACTGACGAAACCTCGCGTTGAATACAACTTTATTTTTGAAATTTTTCGAAATCGCGCAACGTCTCGGACGAGTTGTTCTTTTCCCCTTTGAAAGCAACAGTCCATGCTATTTCAATTTATGACCATGAAATGTAATTTTCGAGAGGACGAAATACTCGTATATTGTAAACATCTTTCTAAACGCACTTATATATTTTTTAAGTGTAATGCAGCTACAGGAAAAGCGGTAAAATAAATCGCAATACTACCTCTGTAATCAACTCTTTGTTGTCACTTTTATGAAGGAATGCCAGGATACAAATTACTGTTTTTAACGACTAGTGCCATAAAACACCATTAACTACTCCAATGAAATCTCAAAGATTTCATAAATTCGGAATTTTCTGTGGGAAATAAAGTTGCGATACATATAGTGCATCATAAAATTTACAAAAAGTGAAGATCTTACAAACATTCAACTTTATTGTAAACCTGTGGACGAAAGGATATTATCACCTTTATTCAGCAATAAACAGTGCAAATCCGAGGTGACTATTAGCAACGTCGACTGGTTTAGTAGGGAATATAAGAAGTGAAGCCTAATATTCAAAGCGTAATATGAAGAACAAGCACCGAATCTCCAGGCGATTGCCTTCAGCAACGGATAGAGACATTGAATGACGTGGTGCAGAACCCGTCACAATGGTATAAATGAACTCTCTGTTTGTCTTTCTGCAGATACATGATTTCAAAACCCTTTTCCACATAAAATTATCCAATCATATCTTTTATACATAATCTTTCTACTACTGTTGAGAAGTAGTACTTTATCATTTGGCTTAGTAATTTAGTTGTACTGAAATTATGTTATGTGGCAACTTGGACCGAAGCACATACATGCCACGTTCTACACTGTTCATAATCGAAAGTATTAAACAGTTTCTGCTTAGACGCAGATAGGGCGGAAGTAAGTTGAGTTGATAAAGTCGTAGACTACCCAAGGATTGTACACAATACGTGTGAAGCAACAGAAAGCCGATCATGAATATGAATCTGTAATATTCCAGTTAAAGTATTGGATTTCTTGTGTTTCATGACTAAGTGTAGGCCGCTTTCCAAAGAATAGGTGTTTTTTTTTCGCTTGCTCGTACTTTTTTGAAATTCATGAAACCTTTCCGAGATATTTGGATATTATTAGGTGTTGATGTGAAGATTGTTGAATATATAATGCACGTTATATCAACAAACAGGTTATATCAATAGACAATCCACCCTATTAGAAATCGAGGTTTATTAGGTCAAGTGGTAATATCCACGAACTAAAATGTGGTTCGAAGTATTAGACTGGCAAAGCCAGGGTAGGTGCATAGGATAACACCTTAATTTTAGTATAAACCAGTCCTAATTTTTTAATCCACTCCAGGGATATTAGGAATTATTTTTTCTGATTAGTGTTGTTTTAGCGAGTTAGTTTTCTACGGGATGGGGCCGCTAACCCCATGCCCAACCCCCCTCCTTTACCCGGGCTTGGAACCGGTATTGACTACAGAAAAGCTACAGGTGGAGTTTGGAGTAGCAACTGGAAAGAGTTGCCCAGGACAGGGTTGGATGGAGAATGCTGGTGGGCGGCCTATGCTCCTCCACGAGGGGTGACAGGCGTAAGAGGTCATAAGAACTGTTTAGATGCTTTTATCACATCAGCGTACTGACATTCATATAATGTTGCTGGAACAAGCGAAATCGTGGTTTAAAAATTGAATAAAAATGAAACATGGGCTTTTGTGCTCCTCGAGATACATGATATTTCCAAGTCAACACTACAGGCCCAGAAATCAAACTTACGAAGCAAGAAAATGAAATAGCCATTTTACTAGTTCAGTGATCGATATACAACAAACAGAATAAATAACCCAACTGACTGAAGTGACAAGATGCGGAATTCCCCAAGTCTGAGAACAACTGGGACATATTCCCTATACGCCAAGGAAAGATGACCCTCTAATACCGAAGTATATATTAGGAAATGGTGATCTGCTTGACGCTGTCGGGGGGTAGGTACAGCTAGACTTTATAAATTGGTCATCTGAGAAATCCCCAAGTAAATACAAAGATCTGGGCATTTATCAAATAACGTTACAAATGAAATCTCTAGCGGTTTACCAAACAATATTTATGATGGGTAGTAACCTATGGTAGTCTACGTTAAATACAATTTTGAGAATGGATAACGTGGTCGAAAGTGGATTTTCTTACCTTCATATAGCTTCTGAACATTCATTCACTGAAAACTGTCTATCCTTGTTAACCTCTTATTTTATTTACTGTTACCGTGTGAAAAATGTGAGATTGAGCACATAGTTGGGGCTCATGAAAACATCTATTTGCTTTTGAAAGTTGAAAACCGACTATACGGGATGATTTTCTCCATATCTGAATAGTGTAACATGACCAACAAGTATAAGTCATCAGAAAGAACCTTTTTGTGTTGAGATATTAAATTAACTAGACGTATGAAATCGTATGTATGGTACGCATCTACATCTCTTCCTTTCCATCCAACCACTGAGACGATCTACCAGAACTACCGATAATAATATAATTTAACTACCTTTAAGTAGTCTTTCAATTTTAGCCTTAACAATGAGTTAGTACACATAAACAGAACGTTCTACTGTAAAGCAATATCTTTCGGATAAACCCCAGATATTCAATGAAATTTTTGCGTTTTTTAAGTCCTCATCACTGGAAAGAAAACAATTCATTCATAAGAAGAATTCACTAGCACAGCAAAAATTTCAGGGAAATTCCTTAGTATTTTCACAATGTTAAGATATCTTAATTTTGTGAACATTAATTTCATAAAAATGTTTGTTATATGATGTTTCAAGCAAACTCGAAGCATAAAATTAAAATTTGAAATGAGCTTTATTTTCAAGATAGATACAATTTAACCAATACAACTAATCTAGCTTTAAGCGCTATCGAAGTTTTGTTTGTTTGTTGTTTCATCTTGTTTTAGTTCCTTTTCAGCCAGTGACAAAATTTCTTCCGAACTTAAGTCCGGGTGAACCTCCCTCAACTTTCGACACTCCCTTAAGAGCCTGACACAGTGTTGAGTAAAATGAACACTTACTTAGACAATGTCGAACGATTGTCCACTAGATTGAACATATTTAATGTCTCAAGCCTGTGCTGACCTTTGAAAAAAGCTCTGATGAAAGTTCATAATAAATCTATCGATCTTACGCTCTTTCACAATCTTCTGGATAGATAATATTCTGCACTGTGGTAGTGGGACATGGTCGATCATACGAAGGATCAACACGTGGAGGAAATGCTTTATACACATCGTACCACAATGGGCGGTCTTCATAGTCTAGAGCCCCTTTTTCAATCATCCCCTTGACCCTATTGATAAGTAGATGTAGAGAACATGCTCAAACCTTTTAAAAATAGAGGCGAACCTCTCCCTCCTGCTTCCAAGCATTTTTAAACATACCTCGTCTCCTTCCCAAGGTTGACTTTAGGTTCTGGATGTGATGAACAAAAACCAGTCCGATTTAGAGAATACAAGATTATATTCGTTGTGAATGACTGAAATGAAGTGTGACTAGCGTTATCTGACTACTATTCTGAAATCACACTCTTTTTTTCGAGAATATCGAAAATATAGTCGAAAAGTCTTTGTTGGACTCATATTTTGAGTATCAGATTGCTCCACTGAAGTCCGAATGAAAGACATTATTTAGTCCTATCGTGGATGGAAAACGTTTGACCCCACCAAACACTGTTGTGAGTCATCCACTCGACTCATGTGACACTGTTACAAGGAAAGCCAACGGTAAAATGCCAGCAGTTAATAGGCATTATATGACATCATGATCGAAAGTCATGAATACGACTTTTAAAGAAGTTTAACACGTTCCTAGTTTAATTATTCGGAATCTAGAAGATTCGAAAGACAATGAATTTGCCAAAAGACATACACATTATCTGCAGTCAGTGGAATCTGTCATCAGGAATGTACTGCCTGAAGAGGTTTCGGGGATACACATCACGGGAGTAAGAAGACTCGGTAAATGGATTGGAGGCGAGACCCAAGAAAGAAGGATATTGGACTTAGTAATCGGTAACTTTTTACGTAATATTGAATGACACACGCGAAAATCATGAGTCGAATACTCGTATTCGACCAGATTGGCAGCTTCAAGATCGAATCAAGTGGAAGAATGCTCTTGCGGAGTTAGGAACTCGAAAGCTAAGTGGCAAAACGAACCATACAATTAGTAGTCTTCGGATAATCATGTCTTGTAAACCAATGCTTCTGAGACTTGTATGGGCAGAACGCATGATTCCTAAAACACCTTAAATTTGTGCCACGCAAATACCCGTAATCTTCGAAATTAAGTCCCGATATAATTGATGTCACAGAAGCTCGGATCACCGCGGATATAGACTGTTCTCCAATCACTGCAGGCTACATCTATATTAGAAGTGATAGAGTTATAAGTTACAGTAGAGGAGGAGGCATAATGTTATATGTTAGGGATAACTTTCGCATGCAATCAATCATATCGGAGGCGCATGTTAGTGGTACATGTGAGGTCTAGAAATGGGTTGATGACTATAGGAGGAATACATCGTAGTCCGTGTTGTCTTGCTGATGACTTTACCTTTAATCATATCCGCTTTTGGAGTATGGCAGAATGTTGTCTCATCATTGGAGAGTTCAACGCACTGCATATCAACTAGACAGAGCTTACAGCTTCAGGTGGGGGTTCCGATAGCTACCTATTGTCAACAATTGTTCAGTGTGTACTTGTACAACGTATCTTAAAACCAGCACATATTGACTAGGAACATGACCCATCATTTCTGGACCTTGTCCTCACATACCACTGTGAAGATGTTGTCGACATTCAACACCTTCCCCACTAGTAAATAGTGACCACGTTGTACTTTCCTTCAAGTTATGGGCATATAGTATATAATTTGCATCTGCTCCACCTCGTCCTAATATCTGAAGAGCTAATATTCCGGTAATCAGAGACTGTGATATCTCGATTGAACGGTCGATGCTGATGGATCGATTGAAGACGAATGTAGTAAGTTTAAGGCTACATTCGAATTTGTAACACAGCCGTTGATTCCATGGTCAATACGTCAGCTATCACATCGCCCTCCATCGATTAATAAGGAAACCCGGAAGTTGTCAAAGCGTAGGAAACACTCTTGGGACTTATTCTTCTCAACAGGGCAGGTATCGTTTAAGTGAAAATATAAGAAAATCCGGAATATATGTAAAAAGACCATAGCTAAATCTCGTGCCACTTACGAACGACAGTTGGCCGTAGTCGTCCGAAGCGATTGTTTACGTACGTTTAACGGCGAACAAACCGTAGTGATGGTGTTCTTGCGTTATAGTCGCACGAAAATTCAGATTTACTAGCTGAATCAGATCTAGCGAAAGCTGAGTCCATCAAACTATTGTAGTGAAGTCACCTCTACAGTTAATGTTTCGAATACTTATCCCAATCACAGTCATAGGATTTGCACGTGTGACTTTGGAAACTGTTCTTCATTGATAACTAACTACAGACCTTGAATGGTACCGGGCCGTGATGGGTTACATCCACATCTGTCATCTATCGCGGACATTATTGGAAGACCGCTCGCGGCGCTCTTCAACATGTCCTTTTCACTCCCTCAACTCCCTAAAGATTGGAGAGACGCTTTGGTCAGTCCTATATTCAAGGATGGTCAGGGACAGATCGTATCTAATTACCGGTCTGTTGGCTTAACCAGAGCAGTCGTTAAGTTACTTGAAAAGATAATTCGGGTTAAGTTACTAAGTCACATAGATTAGTACAATCTGTTAACTCCCGAGCAACATGGGTTTCGTAACAAGCGTTCATGCTTGACTAACTTATTGCGAGAGAAGATTGAACAGCGGCCCTAGATAACGACCTATCTGTCGATGTGATATTCATAGATTTTAGCAAAGCGTTTGGCAAGCTTCCACACTTAAGTCTTATGCAGAAGCTCTCGAGCTTTGGAGTGTCAGGTGTTATACAGGAATGGATACCAACCTTCTTATGTGACCGCAGACTGAGAGTGAGGCTCACTGGAACGCTATCCTAGTGGAAGGAGGTCAGAAGTGGTGTACCCCAAGGCACCATCTTAGGCCCTCAACTCCTCTATGTTAATGAATTCCCGCTATTGCTTAAGTCGTCGACATTATTGTTCGCGGATGATGTCAAAATCTGGAGAGCAATAAGATGAGAGGCTGATCATTCTCATCTCCAAGCTGACTTAGATGCATTAGTTAGATAGGCTCGTGGTTAGGGTTTGGAAGTTAATTATAGGTAGAGCTTGCTCATGCACACCGGACACGGTAATAGTTACCATTATACTATTGACGGTACATCTCTTCCACGCGTTCAAGAAAATAAAGACTTAGGAGTAATAATAGGTCAGGACTAGAAAACAACTACGCACTGCAACTGTCATAATTGTTTTTTACTATATAAACGACCCAGCTGTTCCTATTGCTTAGTATTCTTATCCAATCACACTCAACAAGACCCCAACATCAGAACACGTTGAACAGGAATGAAATTGTATTCAAAATAATAATGATAGGTGAACAGTAATCACTAGTTTAAATAACGTTCATATATTTATAGTATATACATAAGAAGCTTCTAGATTTTTCTCCAATAATATGCCTGGGCTGAATTAGCCAAGGTTTAGAATTAGCCAATCAGCGCACAGCAACACCATCATGCATGAAACATGCATACATGAAACATCCAATCTATGTCCCACTAACAGCAACACAGCTGCTTCCAAAGTTTATCGTGCGTTATGGTCACTTCGCCGAACACTCAGATGCTTTGACAAGGAGATGTTTCGAATTTTATATACAACCTATGTAAGATCACACATAGAGTACAGTATCCAAGCCACTAGCACATGTCTGATAAAGGATAAAGTGTGTGGGAGCGGAATTATTGAAGTGTCTTTCTAAACTCCTTTTCGATGAGCTTTTAAAACGCCTAAACCTTTTCCCCTTGTCTTATCGTAGGACGCGAGGTGACGTTATACTGGCATTTCGTATCCTTGATTATGGTTTGGGTGTTAATATGTCTTATCTTTTTGCTCTCTCCAGCACTGATAATCTCCGAGGTCATAGCAAGAAGGTTCACAAACCGCGATCTAATAAACTCGAGGTGGGGTTCCGTTTTTCTCATCGAGTGGTCAAGGAATGGAACGCCTTACTCGAACAAGTGGTATCAACCCCATCAGTGAACATTTTCAAGGAGCTATACCTCTACCAGAAGGAAATATATCAGGATTAACACAAGTTCATCAACCTACTTTTCTTATTACTGAAGACTGACTGAAAAACATCTTAACGCGTACAATCGACGCTTATTTTAAGGCAGAAGGAACCTTAAAAATCAGCATGCAAACCAGAGTCAGTGAGTACTGGAGGAGTAGGAAAACGAAATGCCAGCAGCAATGTATATACTTCAAACAATGAAATACGCAGTTATGTTATGTAAAGGAATGTTTATTTACAAATTAGTGTCATGCATCATTTTTCTAATCCAATCTATGCTGAGCTTGCTCATCTTCAAACACGCTCAAAGGTCTTTGCCAATTTGGAGGACAATATTTTTCTTCCAATATTAACTCATGAACAGAATAAGTGTAGCTCAAATTAGCTGTAAAACAAATGAAAATATTAAAGCTTATTGGTGTTTTAATTCAAACTATATTCACAGTATCTAAGTAAAATCTTACACAATATAAAACAGTTTATTAAGATTGATCTCCGAGTTTATACACCGCCCCGTTCGTTTGTCGATCATATACGTGTTTTTGGTGTTTTTCGACATTCTATAGGTTGGTTTAAACTTGGCTAAACCTTTACCTGTGCCAGCATCTCGGAGTGTTTCAGAATATCTCATTTTACTCTTGACTAGCGTAACCTTTGGCACACTCCTGTTCACCTAGTGCCATTTATGATAGCGAATGGTGTCACGTTTAGTTAGTTTTGCCCAAGGCGTTAAAGGACTATTCTCATATTGGCATTACGCTATTCAGGCGGTTTTCCACACCAGTAATATCAAGTCATATCAGCATAACCGTTTGCAGTAATCGTTGTAAAGCACTGCAATGTTAGATATCCCGAAAGACATTACTTGGAATTCATTGAGATCATTTGGCTCTTCAAGTGCGATTTTCTTTCTACCTCAGAGTCGTAAATTCTCTTTCTAACACTTGAATTCAAGGTCTTAAACCAAAAACCCAGTAAGCGCTTTTCATGGGGTCTTGTGTAGCTCCAACCTACGTCAACAGGAAGAAATCTCGTTTCGTTATAGCATTAAGATGACGGCGATTTACACATGATCGAAGTAAGGAATCTTTTTCTTACTTAGGCGGCAGAATAAGCTCTGGATAATAACGAAGGTACAATAGTCTTCCTTTTTTAGCCTAGCCCAAGGCTACCGATGATTGGAGAAGCGTTTGACCCAAGCTGCCT